TCGCGTAGATCCTGGGAGACCAGGTGGCCCTGAGATCAGCCCAAGCCAGGGGGATCAGGGAGGCGGCCCAGCGAAGCTCACGGCGGACAGATGGCGGCAGCTTCATCACCCGATCGAAGTACTTCCTCGAGAAGGCATACACAGAACTAAATACGGCCAAGAGCGGGCGCCTCGACATTGCAATGAACGCAAAGTGGCCAGCAATCTTCCCCACTTGTCGCCCTGAAGCGCGCCCACGAGCAAGCAATCCCTGGATTCCAAGACGAAGCCTCCAAGCACGACGACTCTTCGGTCTCACAGCTCCACGCTCCCCGTCGAAGACCCACCCCAGCTGCTCAGACACCGAGGCGGGGAGATCAGGATCGTGCAGAGGGAGCCCCGCGCCGCTCAAGGCCTCTTGGGCCGACCTCAGGAGGGCCGCAGGCCTGCCAGGATTTACTCCAAAGGAAATGAAATTGTCAACATAGGCTGTGTAGGCCCCGTCCTGGATGGGAGGCGTCGGCATACCATCGACCACTTCGGGAACGCTCTCAACCCCCCCCTTCTGGAGCAAGATATTTCTGTGCACTCTCTGACAGAAGTCCAGCGCATGCGCCCAGCCCATAGGCAGGACGGCCAAGCACGGGCGCACCCAAGCACGACCAGGAACTGGACGCCCGCCCAGCTCTCGCACTCCAAGTTGCGCTGCCCGAAGCCGCGGGAGCGCGAAGAGGTGCCGGAGCTCCGGCGGCAGGCCCACGTTGTAAAAAGCGTCCGCTATGTCGACGCCCGCCGTCCACAGCACCTCGCCCGGCGCCAGCTCGATGGAGCTGAAGCTGCCCCCGGACGCCAAGCTGGTCTTGTCGGGCTCCCCGAACCTGAAGTTGCTGCCCCTGCAATCGATCACCAGGCGCTGGCGACCATCCTTCTTCCAAACGGTGAATAGACCGACTTCCTCAAAATCCCCCTCATCAATCCTGAACTCCAGCATGCCACCGTCCCTCATCCTCTCGACGAAGGCCAGGTAGGCCGCGGGCTGCCGCAGTACCGGGTCCAGGCAAGGGCGTGCGAAACCAGCCTCCTTCTTAAAAATCTCGGCGCTTTGAATTGGCAAAACTTTCGAAGTGATGAACCTTCGCACGATATCTGGACCGTCGTCTCCCAGCAACTGGCCCAGGGGCACAGGCGCACCGCCCGCAGCTGGCAGAGACACGAGGTCGTGCGCGAAGGGGGCCACCGTGACGGGCTCGCCGTCGGAGTAGCCGGCGCCAACCTGGAGCTCCTGGAGGGCCACCTCGGTCGACAAATCTGGAGGAATGGAGCCCATCGCCGCACAGCTTTCGGCGAGATGCTCCAAGCAAAGTTGCTGCATCCTGTTGGGCTCCTGGCCTGCGCGGCGCGGCGGGTCATCCGAGCCGGCGTCCAGCTGGTTGAGCGCCACCACTAGCTCAGTCACGAGCTCGCCCTGCAGCGTCCTGTTGGCGCGGCGACGCCGCGCTGCGCGGCCGCCGCCGCCGCCGGCGGCAGCCGCCGCGAGACACCAGTCAGGGACTGGCAAGGGCAGGAGCGACCGCTGCATGTGGTCGTCACCTCTGCCCCCCCACCTCTTCTGCATCACCCCCGGGCCGAGGCAGTCCCGGGGGCGGTCCCAGCATCATGACTTGGGGGGAGGAGCGTCCCGGCCGCCCTTGTTGGCCTTCTGCTCCTCCCTCAGCTTCCTCGCGTTCTTCTTGATGCTGTGGATCCGCTCCAGCTCCTTCGACACCGAGTCGAGCAGTTCCGGGCACACCATAGAGGGAGACCTCGAGCCTCCCATGAATGCGAATGCCTCCTCCAAGGGCATCCGCATGTTGTGCTGCTGCTGCTCTGCGCTCCTGTCGTCCCAGTAGTGCTCGATGAGCTGGAGCTTACGGTAGCCGAGCTCCGCGCTCGCCAAGTTGTAGACGTCCAGGTGGTCGGCGGTGCCCATGGCCTCGATCATTTTCGAGAGCGTCTCGTGCATGTCCACCCCGAAGTCGGTTGGGTTCAGCTTCCGCTTCGACTTCCACATCTCATGATGGAGGACGGGGCCCCCTTCCTTCACCTGGTACTTGGCACACCACTGCGCCGTCCTCGGAGGAGCCACAGCAAACCCCGGCACGGGCTCCTCGCGACACAGCAGCACCACCTCGCGCCACTCCCGAGCGTTGCCGCCTGGCTGCCCAGCTCCCGGCGGGATCTCGAGTGTGCGAGCGTCGCTTCCGCGGTACTCCTGAGTGAACCACGGGATCTCGCTGTCTCTCAGCAGCACCGCGCTGGCCCCGCCGCCGCCGGCCAACGTGAGAAGCCCGCGCCGACCCGCACGGCCCACGAGGGTCGCTCCGCCCGGCACTCCGACGGCCACCTTCGTGCCGAACGCCACGGCGCCGTCGACGTCCTCGGCAGCCACCCAGTGCCAGCCTGGCGCGGGCTCCCCGCTCGGCAGCGGCGCGGCCGCCGCTGTGTCTGGCACCGCGGGCGCCCGACCCGCTGGAGCAGCGGCCGCCCCGGGGGCGGGGGCCACGGCGGCTGGGGCCGCGGCTGCCGGCGCCGGCGCGGCCGCGGCCGCCGGCGGGGCTGGCGGGGCCGCCCCAGGAAGCGCCAGCGCGCCTGGGTCCGCTGCCGCGGGGTGGGCCCCGGCCACGTCGACCAGGGGGGGGACCACGATCGTCGGGTCCGCCAGCGGCATGCTGCCCGCCGGCGCGCCGGCACAGTTGACCGCGGACAGCGTGAGGAGGAAGGGCCCGTCAGGCAACGGCCCGTGCCCCAGCGCTGCGCCGCGGCGGAGGGCGCCCCAGACCTCGGCCGCCGTGGGGAGGCGCCGAAACCTGTAGACTCGGTTCTCCTGGACGCCCCCCGCCCTGCCGCCCTGCCCGTGTACGAAGTGGATCTCCATCACGTCCGCGTCGGGGCTCGTGGTCTCCCCGTAGTCGTCGAAACCCGGGGTCATCACGTACCCTGAGCGGAAAATGTCCAGTCGCTCATGGTACAGGGCGGGGCCTCCCACTCGATACCTGGTCAGGTGGAAACCTCCCGCCAGCGGCCCAGCCGCCATCTTCAACAAGCGGCGGCAACCGGCGTCCTGCGGAAGGCCTTCGCCTGCTCCAGCGCGAGGTGCACGAGGTCGTCGCCCGCAGGCGCGCTGTCCGCCTCCACGGACGCCGCGGCGGGCGCTGCAAGCGCCCTCGGGCGAGGCCGCCAGGCCCGCGAGACGGCCGCGGCCCCGAGCACGGCGCCCAGGAGGAGCGAGAGGCCAGCCACCCAGGCCAGCTGCGACCCGGGGCACCCCGGGGTGGCGGCGGCCGCCAAAGTGCCCTCGCCGCTGGGGCACGTGCACTGCAGCGCTGGGCAGTGCAGGGCCGGACTGCACCAGCAGTCCGGGCAGTCGGCCACCGAGGCCCGGACGACGAAGGCGGTGGTCAGCGCCTGCCCCACGTCGTGGAGCAGCCTCACCAGCCCGGCCTCCATCCCCCGGCAAGGTCTCAGCGCAACAAAGAGACCTCAAATGGCCATGGAATGGCAAAGGAATGCCGCACAGATCCATGGCCCTGACATGCGGCCTCTCCTGCTGTGACGTCTGGCAATCTACAACGAAGTAGTGGGCAGGAGGAGGAGAAGGAGGCGGAGTACCGAGCCCATACTGGAAGAGCGGGGCGCAGCTTGGGGACCGTCGGTCGACGGAACACCTCCACCTGGCCCTGGCAGGCCAGCCCTGGGCCGGTCCTGGAAGGTTCGTAATCCGAGGACCGACCACAACGATGCTGAAAACGCGCTTGCATTTAGAACGAGAACGAGAACGAATCCGAACGAGTACGACGAACCGTTTAAAACGATACGGGTACAAACGAAAACGAACACAAAGCGATGCCGCCATTCAGCGAGACAACAAGTCCGAGGCATGCCTTCACCACTTGGCGGCGCGCACAGGGGCGTAGGGGGAGGGGGAAGGCGTCTTAGAGGGAGGCTGCTTCGTGCATGGCGCCAGCCCTTACATCTGCAGACAAGGCCCGTGCCTTCTCAGAAGCAGCCTCCTTCTAAGACGCCTTCCCCCTCCCCTGCGAGTGGCCGAGCCAAGCATGAGGGATGCAGGAGGCCACATGCGAACCCTACCCTTATGTCGGGCGTGTCCCCCTACAGGGGGACCTTCGACGAAAAAAAAAAAACATATATAAATATATATATATATTATAAAAATGCCCCAAAATGGTTACAAAATACTCAAAAACTAGTCCCCAGACCATTTTTGGACTATTTGTTGAATAGTTTTGGTGTATGTTGTATTCTTCGTCGAAAATCCCCCTGTAAGGGGACAGGCCCGACTTAACCCTACCCCACCGCCCCACGAGTTCTGGAGGGGGGAGGTGGGGCTCACTTCCCTCGGGAGGTCCCGCACGAAGGGAACCCCACCTCCGCCCCCCCTCTCAGAAATCGCGGGGTGGTGGGGGTAGGGCTCGCACGTGGCCTCCTAGGGTTGGGTCGGGCATGTCCCCCTACAGGCGGATGTTGGGCGAGAAAAGACAGATGGCCAAACAGATCCTCAGACACTGTCCATAGAATAAGAGGGGAATCGTCCCCAGACGATTTGTCTGGACTCTTTGGGAAGCTTCCTCCTGCAGAGGGACAGGCCCGACTTGCGCCCAGGATTCCACGTGCACCCCTCCCTGCCTGCAGGGGCCGGAGACGCGGGCGCGCCCCCGGGGGCAGCTCGAGGGCCCCCGCGCGAGCCCCGGCCCGCGGCGGAGGGGCCCTCCCGGGCCCCGGGGTCTGCGCCCGGCAGGGGTCCCACACTTGGCGGCGCGCGGAGGAGGAGGAGGAGGAGGAGGAGGAGGAGGAGGAGGAGGAGGGGGAGGAGGAGGGGGGGGGTAGGGGTGAGGGGGAAGGCTTCTTAGAAGCACCCTGCTTCTCGGGAGGCCTCGGCCTTGCATCTATAGAGAGAAGGCCCGCGCCGTCTAAGAAGCAGGGGTGCTCTCTAAGGAGCCTTCCCCCCTCCCCCTACCCCCCTCTGCGCGTTGCCGACACACGTGCTCGCGTCCACACAGGAAATCGACCCCAGAGAGCCGACGCTCCAACAAAAGAGGAGCGGCGGGATGTTGGCAGCCTTCGGCCTCCGGGGGCCCTCGCTGGGCCTCGGGAGCATCAACTAGCGACTCGGGACGAGAAACCCGCCTCGGGAGCGTCCAAGAAACGACTCGGGACGAACAGCCGGCCCCGGGGAAGTGGTCTGGACCTCTGGGGCCCACGCATCGAAAAAATGAGCGGCTGGATGTCTGGGACAGAAATTTTGGCAGTGTGCGGCCTCTGGGGGCTCTCGCCGAGCCCCTGGGAGCGTCAAAGAGAGCCTCGGGGTGCAGAAGCCTGCCCTGGGGAGAGGGTCGGGACTCCTGGGGACCCCGCGCAGTCAACCCGTATAAGAAGCACGCACGATAAGGACGCAAGGGCCTTGGAAGGCCATTTCGAGGCTTTTCGAGCGGGGCACGGCCAGCTAAAGCGGCCAAGGATGGGCCGAAGGGGCAGGGATGCAAGGGTGCCCTTGGGAAGGATGCCCGTCCTTATCATGCGGGCTGACTGCACCAAAGGAAGCAAAACGTCGGATGCCAGTGGTCGGCCCCCCCGTGGCTCCCAAGCCCGGGCCAGCCAGTGGGGGCCAGCGAGCAGAGGCTGGCCCCCAGTGGCGCTGACCCCCGCGGCGCTGGACCTCGTCCCGCCTGGCCGCGCGAGAGCTGGCCGCCGTCCTCTCTTTGATCAGTCGGGGACAGCCGAGACAGGCGCGCGCGGGCAAGTCAGCGGCACCCGCGGCGCAGGGCGTGAAACAGGCCGGCAAGAGCAAGAGCGGCGCGGCGGCCCGCCGAGGTCCTCCACACCGCACACCCCGGATGCCTGCCAACATGGGCGGAACTTCCAGTTGCCGAGCGAAGAAGGAAGGGGTGGCTGCATTCGCAAGTCCCGGCCACCCGTGGGGACCTTCCCTCCCCCACGGAAGCGCAACCTCTTTCGGGCGTTGGCAGAACTGGGTTTAGTGGAACCTGGTCTAAAAAAAAAAAAAAAAAAAAAAAAAAAAAAAAAAAAAACAAAAAAAAAAAAAAAAAAAAAAAAAAAATAAAAAAAAAAACTAAAAAGAAAAAAAAAAAAAAAAAAAAAAAAACAAAAAAAAAAAACAACTAAAACAAAAAAAAAAAAAAAAAAAGAAAAAAAAAAAAAAAGACTGGGGACCCGGGGGCGACCCCCTCCGTCCCATTTCCCTTACGGGACTGCCGTCACCCGAAAGACACCAGTTACGGCAAACCTGGTTTAATGATTTTGGCCAATTGAGGGGCCCCAGGGCCCTACAACTAACCGGGTACCCTTACCCGGGGTCCTGGCCCTACCCGAGTCTTGGGGTGCCCTCCTCCACCTTCCCGGACGTCCGCCGTCGTGGTGCACCCATGACGCATAGACCCCTCGGAGACGTCGTGCTGTCCCAGGGCCCAGGGCCTGGCCCCCCCTCGAGACAGAGAACGCTCAAGGAGCCTTCCGTTGCGACTCCTCCACGACGCAAGGAAATCTGGGTCGTCGTCCTCCTCCTCCTCCTCCTCCTCCTCCTCCTCCTCCTCCTCCTCCTCCTCCTCCTCCAGCTCCTCCTCCAGCTCCTCCTCCTCCTCCTCCTCCTCCAGCTCCTCCTCCAGCTCCTCCTCCTCCTCCTCCTCCTCCTCCTCCTCCTCCTCCTCATCCTCCTCCTCCTCCTCCTCCTCCTCCTCCTCCTCCTCCTCCTCCTCCTCCTCTCCTCCTCCTCTCCCCCCTCCTCCTCGCTCCCCCCTCCTCCTTCCTCCTCCTCCTCCCACCCCCTCCTCCTCCTCCTCCTCCTCCTCCTCCTCCTTCTCCTCCTTCTCCTCTTCCTCCTGCTCCTTTTCTTCCTCTTCCTCCGCCTCTTCGTCGTCCTCCTCCAGCTCCTCCTCGTCAGGCGTTGCGTGCAGCGCCCAGTCCGCCAAACGTTCGCGGCCACGGACGCCGCGCTGCCAGCCGCGCGAGCCAGTGATGCATGGGCCAGCCGGAGCGGCGGCTGCGCAAAAGGAAGGCCTGGGCTTGCACAGAGAGCGGAAAGAATGAGAGGAATAAAGGAAGAGAGGGAGAAAGAGAGAGAGAGAGAGGCAGAGACAGAGACAGAGACAGACAGAGAGGACCAGATGACGACGAGTCTTCCAGGCGCCCGGCGGCAAGGGGCCGGCGCACCCCGCACCTTGGCCGGCGCGGGTCGGCCAAAGGGGCCCTCCACGCCCGTCTTGGGCGGACGGCTGGGGAGGAAAGAGAGAGGCGGCGGAGCGAGGGGGGTCCCCCCCCCCCAGCGAGCAGACGGTGCACCGTGGCACCGCCTCGCGGCCGTCTGGCCCTCACCGGTCGGGCGGAGCGAGGCCCGCACCCGTCCTTGGCGTGGCCGTGCCTCGCGGAAAAGTGGCGGCATCCATGCAGCACCCCTGCAGGGCCCGCAGTGGGGAGAGGCGGCTGTGGGCGCCTGCCAGGCGGCGCACGGGCCTCGAAGAGGAGGTCGGCTGGCGCCTCTGGCGAATGAAGCAGTTCGGCCGCGTGGAGGGCGGCCGCGACGGAGGCGGAGGCTCTCGTTGCCGAAGGTGCGAGCGAGGCCTGACGCCGGACGGTGGCGTGAAGTTCACGCAGCGTGTGAGGTGCCGCCGCGTCGTGCGGCGGAGATGGCCGGAAAGGGAGTGGACATGCTCGAGCTGACGCTCGAGCCGCGAGAAGCGGTCTGCCGCGGGCTGAGCTTGGGCCGGAGAGGCTTGCCCCTGCGACGGGAGGGGGGCCAGCACAGCCGCCCGGGCGGCGTGCCAGGCCCTGCGCACGACGGGTGACATTCCCCTGCGCTCGGCCGGAGCCCGAGCGAGGGGGGGGACCCAGCAGACGCGGGGCGAGCCTGAGGCGACCGGGGCCCACGTGGCGGAGGAGGACCACTGGGCGAGGCAGGCAAGCGACCACCACGGAGGGCAGGCCGGGGGGGCCGCGCTGCTGGTGGGAGGGTGTCAATGCCACCATCATCGGCCAGCTGCCGGAAGAAGTGGTTCGAGTCGGCGGCAGGCAGCCAGGCGTCAGCGTCAAGACTCCACAAGTACTGCCCGCGCGGGAGGGTGACGTGCGGTGGCGGCGGAAGGGGCCCGTAGAGCGTGACCGTTTCGCTCCTGCTGATTGGTCGGGGGTCGCAAGATGCCACGCTTTGGCACAGGTCCGGAAGCACCGCACTGCCAACTGGGCCGGCAGAGTGGGCTGGTTGGTGAGCCGTGAGAGCAGGGGTAGCCCCGTCTCCCGAGGCTGAGCCTGGGAGGTTGCGTGGCCAATTTGGTGCCGCTGCAACCGACGGCTGGTTGTCGTAGTGGGCTGGGCCAGGGGGGGTGCGGCCCTGAGGTCGACAAGGGGGGTTCTCTGTCACCCGTAGAGGAGTTGCTGGCGTTACTCGTGGAGACGTCGCTGTTGTGGTCCCCCGCCCCGGCTGAGCCGGGCATACGGCGTCGTCGAAAGGACGACGGGGGACTGTGCTGCGCTGGTCCCACAGGATCGACGCCTGGAGAGGGGGCGCCAGTGGCGGTGCCAGGTGCTACGTCCGGCGGGTCCCGAGGTCTTTGGGGATCAGAACCGTTTGACCCGTCATCGCTGGCGAAGGGGTCAGTGTGCCCGAACCAAGTGGTGCCCGTCGGAAGAGAGCACGCCCGTGCGGCCGCGCCGCCGTCGCGGAGCGGGCCCCGTGCGAGGGTGCCGCCTCTGGGTGCGGCGCGTCGTGTTCTGGTGGGGATGGTGGGGCCGCAGGCTGCGGGGAGACCACAGGAGGGCTGGTGTCGGCCTCGGTACTCTGGCGGGGGAGGAGGAGGAGGAGGAGGAGGAGGAGGAGGAGGAGGAGGAGGAGGAGGAGGAGGAGGAGGAGGAAGAGGAGGAGGAGGAGGAGGAGGGAGGAGGAGGAGGAGGAGGAGGGAGGAGGAGGAGGAGTCGGCCTTGGTACCCCGGTGGAGGGTCGAAGCAGTCCAAGTGCGCGTCCACAGCGTCCCGGCGCGCGTCGCTCCGCTGTGGAACTGCGCGGTGCGGCGCGTGGCCAGTGAGCGCGGAAGCGTGGTGATGACGGGCGCGGCGTCCCCGGTCGCCCCGCTCCCGGGCTTCTTCACAGCTTTCGTGCGCGTGGCGACTCTGGGGGTCGGTGGCCTCCCCTGGTGGCAGGTCCACGCAGAGGCCCACAAAGAGAGGCACAGAGAGAGAGAGAGAGAGAAAAAAAAAAAGGAGAGAGAGAGAGAGAGATGGATAGAGAGATAGAAACAGAGACAGAGGGGGAGAGAGAGAGAGAGAGAGACAGAGAGAGATAGGGAGAGGGGGAAGAGAGGTAGAGGCAGAGAAAGAGAGACGACAAAGAGAGAAGGGCGGGTGAGATATGTATATCTATATTATATGTATACATGAACATGCACAAACATACATACGTCTGTATCGCAGGTTAAGGGTGATAACGAAAAAAACGTGACGAGCCCCACCCGGAAGATCGCTTCGTTTCGTGAGCGGCATGCATGCTGGCGAGGCGAGGCGACGCTGCGCGAGTGCTTCCGCTGGCAACGGCCAGGTCTGACAAAAAAGGGTCGCCCTGAGCCTGGCCGTGGTGTACACGTTGTCCACATGGTTTTCCCAATAATTGTTCCGCTGCTTGTCCTGCTGATTTTCCCAACGGCTGTCCCGTTGGTTGTCCAACTTGTTTTCCCGTTGGTTGCCCCGACAGCTGTCACAACGGTTGTCCCGATCGGTTTGCCGATGGTTGTCCGATTGGTTGTCCCGGTTGTGCCGATGGTTATCCAGATGTTTGTCCCGATAGTTGTCCCCATAGTTGTTCCGATGGTTGTGCTTATGATTGTGCCGATGCTTATCGCGATGGATCTCAAGATGGGTTTCCCGATGGTTGTTCCAATGGGTGCTTCGATGGTTGTCACGATGGTTGCCTCAACGGTTGTCCCAACGGTTGTCCCGATGGCTTTGACAGTGGTTGTCCCAATGGCTGTCATGATGGAGGTCCCGATGGTTGTGCCGATGGTCGTCCCATTGTTTGAACCGATGGTTGTCCCGCTAGTTGTCCCTACCGATGGATGTCCCGATAATTGTCCCGATCGGTAGATAGTGAGATCGACAGATAGAATGATAGGGATGCCAATAGATGGATACATAGTGAGACCGGTAGACAGTGAGACCGACAGGTAGATGAATATATTGAAGGAGGAGTTGTCTTGATGGTTCTCCCGACTGTTGTCCCGATAGTTGTCTCGATAGATGGATAGTGCGATTGACTGAGATGTTGATAGTTAGACCGATGGATGGTAGTGAGACCCGTTGATGGTGAGATGACTAGATGGATGATGATATAAAATGGCAGTCTCGGTGGTTGTTCCGTTAGATGTCAGGCAGAAAGTGAGACTGGTAGATCAGGATACCGATAGATGGGTAGATGGCTCTATAGAACGGTTGTCCCGAGTGTTGTCTGGTTGGTTCTCCCAGCAGATAGATTGTGAAATCGTCAGGTCAAACATTAGCAGGGTAAGGAATGACGAGCAGAGCTACATGCAGTTATATGCACAGGTGTGTCTATGTGTTATATGTGTGTATGTACACATGGAACTAGGTATGCAGATGGCCACACACACACACACCGATCTACATATAGAGAGGGGGAGAGATGGCAAGAGTGAAACCAAACAAACAACGCATACGACCACAACATAACAAAACAAAATAGCACGACAATAACGATACGCGCGTCCAACCCTATCCTTACACGGAATGAACACATGCATGCACGCTCCATACAAAAACGCAGGACAAGATGTGAGCGCACTGCGCTGCCCTCGTCTCCGCCGTGCCCCCCACAAGAACCCACGAAACGGACGACGGCTGCACACTCCGTAACCTCCACGGGAGCCGCGAAGTCTCGGCTGGAGCCGGGTGGCACCCGCCTCCGCTGAACTTGCCGTCGCTCGGACGTCCAGTTCCCGTGCATTGTTCGGTTTCGTGCGTGTTTTTCTGTCGCTCGATGATCTAGGATGTTCCTCAAGGGTCCTCGCCGAGAAAAAAATACACACGTCCGAGCGATGCCAGGTGAACCTCCCAGGGAGCCCACGAAAACGGCGACAGTCGTCATGGGCGCGCGTGCCCCCCCGGCTCCGCTGGACCTCTGAGAGGGGCCCACGAACACGGTGACGGTTCCGCATGCCGCAACAACCCAGGGCGCAGCGAGGTCCCGCCCGGGTGCGCGTGGCCCCCGACTCCGCTGGAAGGTGGCGGCGCCTGCCAAAGTCGCGGCCCTCCACGTAGCAGCGAGACCCCGCCGGGGTCCCCGAAAGCCTTCACTCCGCCGTGCCTGCCAGGTGCCCACGAACAGGACGACAGCTGCGCACGTCGTAGCCCCCCAGGGAGCCGCGAGGTCCCGCCTGTACCCGCGCGTGCCTCCGCTCCGCTGGACCTCCCAGAAGCCCACGAAAAGGCGCGACGGTTGCGCAGGTCGCAGCCCCCCAGGGAGAAGCGACATCTCGGCTGGGTCTGCGTAGTACTCCCCAACTCCGCCGTGTCTCCCGAGAGCCCACGAACAAAGAGCGACCATTGCGCACTTCGCCCCCACGCCCCCCCCACCCCCCAAGGAGCCGCAAGGTCTCCCGCCTGGGTCTGCGTATTCCCCCGTGCCGCCGTGCCTGCCAGGAGCCCACGACAACTGCAACCATTGCGCAGTTCGTAGCCCCCAGGGAGCCGCAGGGTCCTGTCTGGGTCTGCGCACTCCCCCACTCCGCCGTGCCTCCCAACAGCCCACGAGAAGGATGACGGTTGCGACGTTCGCAGCCCCCCAGCAAGTCGCAAGAGGGAGAAAGAGAAAGAGCGAGAGACAGAGAGGCAGAGAGAAGGGAGGGGAGCGAAGGAGAGAGGGGGGGAGGAGGGAGGGGAGGGGGAGAGCAGAAGGGGCCCAGGCGAGAGGAGACGAGAGTCGATGGGGAGAGAGCGAGGCCGGGGGCGAGCAGACCTCGGAGGGGGGGCACGGAGGCGGGGGCGGGGCGAGGGCCCGGCGCGGGCGGCACAGCGCGGGGAGCCGAGGGCAGAGGCGAGCCCCCCGCGACGGTGCCGCGAGGCGGGGCCTCTCGGAAGGAGGCCTGCGCGCCGCGGGGCACCCCGCGGCGGTGGGCGCGGCGGCCCTCCGGGGCGGCGGGCACGCCGCGGCGGGGGCGCCGCCCGAGCGCGGGCGCCGACGCGGGCGCCCTCGGCCCTCGCGCTCCGGGGCCTCGCCCTCCTCCCTCCTCTCGTCGCCCCTCTCGGGGGGAGGGGAGAGAGCCCAGAGCGCGAGGGCCCAACCCAGCTGCAGCTGGCCGCTCCAACTCTTTTTCGAGGCGTGGGCCCTGTGGAAGGCCGGACCGCTTCCCCGGGGCCAGCTCCTTCGTTAGGGGAACAACTCGGAGGTCCGCGCAGATTTCTCGGATCGGCGCGGGGGCCCCCTTGCGGCGCCTCCGGCGCCGCCCCTAGCGCGCTCCGCGCGCCAGGGAGGGGGGTCCAGCGCCGATCCGAGAAATCCGCGCGGACCGCCGAGTTTTTATGTTCATGCCACTTTTTGTTCCCCGATTCGTCCCGAGCCGTTCTCTCACGCGCCCGAGGCCCAGCGAAGGCCCCCGGAGGCCCAAAGCTGGCAGAGTCCCGCCGCCCCAACTTTTTTCGTTGGAGCGCCGCAGCTCTGGGAGAGGTGCCGCGCCGGGCGCGCGCGGGAGCCGCCCCCGCGGCCGTTGTGAAGCCCGGGAAAAGCGCAGGCCGCGCGGGGGGGCACTGCCGGAGCCGGCGGGGTCGTCGGCGGGGGGGGGCTGTCCGCTATGGGACGGCCCCGCGCCGCGCCGCGGCAGCACGCCGGGGGGGAACACTGAGACGAAGCCAGGACGAGGACAAGTTCGAGTGGGTGTAGATCGAGAAGACAGTCGGCCTGTATCATAAGGGTGTGAGGTAAGGATGCAAGGGCCTTGGAAGCACTTGTGGAAGTCTTTGAACCGAGGCTGGCAGGACGAGGGCAAGTTCGAGTGGGTGTAGATCGAGAAGACAGTCGGCCTCTATCGTAAGGATGCGCGGTAAGGATGCAAGGGCCCTGGAGGCACATGTGGACGTCTTTCGAACGAGGCTGGGCAGGACGAGGACAAGTTCGAGTGGGTATAGATCGAGAAGACAGTCGGCCTGTATCACAAGGATGCGAGGTAAGGATGCAAGGGCCCTGGAGGCACACGTGGACGTCTTTCGAACGAGGCTGGCCAGCGAAGGTCGCCAAGGATGGGCCGAAGGGGCAAGGATGCAAGGGTACCGTTGGGAAGGCTGCCCATCCTTACCGACGTCTTTCGAACGAGGCTGGCAGGACGAGGACAAGTTCGAGTGGGTATAGATCGAGAAGACAGTCGGCCTGTATCACAAGGATGCGAGGTAAGGATGCAAGGGACCTGGAGGCACACGTGGACGTCTTTCGAACGAGGCTGGCCAGCGAAGGTCGCCAAGGATGGGCCGAAGGGACAAGGATGCAAGGGTACCTTTGGGCAGGCTGCCCATCCTTACTATGCGGGTTGACCGTAAGGAGCGAGGCCCCTTTTTTTCAAGAAGCTAAATGTCGATTCCCCACACAAAACATAATCTGGTACAAAATGCAAAGCAGTTGAAGAGCACTGAGCCCCTCGCCACCGAAAAGGGTTCCTTCTTCAGCGGCCCAACTGTAGATCGAGAGTCTCTGAGATCTGGCGACGTTGGAGGATGTCGGGCGCCGCGGCCTTTTCAAAGCGTTCCGGAGCGCTCTGAGAGCGTTCCGTAATGATCTGGAACAGAGTCATTCTCGTCCCAGCCCCGCCCGAAACACGCTGCGCATGAGGTGCTCCGCCCCCCCCCGTGGCAGTTTCTCTTTTCCCGGGTGACGATCGCGACCCAGGGAGGGGGGGGGAGGCTCGGGCGGGAGGGTAACGGGTAAAGGCGGCCGTGGCGTGCACTCGCCAGGATGCGCCCGCGCCACCAGCGCATCAGTTCCCCCAGCATGGAGGGGGGGGTCTGGGCTACTCCCCCAGCACGTTGGCGTGATCCGCGGGGAGGGGGGGGGGGCTCGGCTGGCGAGCGCTACCCTGGGGGGAAGAAAGAAGAAGAAGAAGAAGAAGAAGAAGAAGAACAAGAACAAGAACAAGAAGAAGAGGAAAACAAACAAAAACGTAATAAGAAGAGGCAAAGGAAAACCATCAACATATTATATATACACGAAACACACACACAAACAAAACAAAAAAACTACAAGAAGAAGCCTCCCAGATGACTGAGATTGGGTGGGAGCAGGTGGCGTCGGAGGATCGCGCCGCATACCCCGCCCGCTCTCCCTCGCAGAATCGCCGCCGCTGGCCTCTCTGTCCTCCCTGTGCAGTTGCGGACACCCACCTGCAGCCCAAAGTGTGTTCCCCAGCGGCGCGGGCTCGCTTCGCCAGGGTCTCGTTTCGCCCGCTTCGCTTCGCCTGGTTCGCTTCGCCCAGGCTCGCTTCGCCCAGCTCGCTTCGCCCGGCTCGCTTCGCCCGGCTCGCTTCGCTAGGGGGTTGCTTCGCCGGGGCTCGTCTCGCCCGGCTCGCTTCGTCCAGCTCGTTTCCCCCAGGGTTTGCTTCGCCTGGCTCGCTTCGCCGCTTCGCCCGGGTTTTGCTTCGTCTGGTGGTGACAAACTGTGCGGTGGCTTCGAAGAGAGAGGAGGTGGAGGAGGTGGTGGAGGAGGAGGAGGAGGAGGAGGAGGAGGACCAGAGGGGAGAGGAGGAAGGAGGAGGAGAAGGAGGAGGAGGAGGATGGAGAAGGAGGAAGAGGATGGATATTGTTTACCTGTGCGAGGTCGCCAGCGTGACGCGCGCCGCGGTTCGACCGGCTCGGTCTTGCAACGGGTAGTACGCACGGTTGTCGCGGAGGAACCCCAGGAGGGGGAGTGGAGAAGGAGGAGGAGGAGGAAGAGGGAGGAGGAGAAGGAGAAGGAGGAGGAGGAAGAGG